TCACACCGTGAAGCCCCCGGACGTTATAAATTCTACACTCATGACTTTTTATAATATTCACATGAATCTTTTTGGACAGACCCTGATATGTTAGAAGTTGGAAATGGAGGAATGACAGACGAGGAGTATCGAGCACATTTCAGCATTTGGGCTCTGATGAAGGTACTCTTCATTACACTGTGAAAACGATATTTGTTTTTTTTTTGTTTCTGTGTAATCCATAGCTTAAAGGGTCGAGTGCGGCATTTTCTCTTTATGAAAAAATAAAATAAATATCTAATAATGAAATCCTGTGGCCTTTTTTCGGTAATAACAAAAACCAAATGTTTTCTTGAATTTTCAGTCTCCACTTATAATCGGCTGTGATGTTAGAAACATAACTGCCGAGGCGTTCGCAATTCTCAGTAATGAGGAGGTTATTGCTGTAAATCAAGGTAAGATTTCTTTTCTACTCCATTTTACATTTATCGAGATTTATTTTCTACACACTCTATTTGGCTTTAGGAAAATGATTTTCTTATATTCGGCTTTCAGATTCACTTGGAATTCAAGGAAGGAAAGTCGACTCCTATGGACCTGATGGTTGTTATCAAGTATGGGAGTCTTTTTACTCACTTTTTACATTTTTCTTTACCTTAATCCATCTTTTCAAAGTTTTTACACTTGTTAAATCGTCACTCTACATTTTGGATAATTGAAGGTTTGGGCAGGCCCGCTTTCTGGGCAACGTTTGGCTGTTGTTTTATGGAACAGATGTTCGAAAACGGGCACTGTCACAACTAAATGGGCTTCACTTGGGCTCGAGTCTTCCACTAGTGTCTCTATCAGAGATTTGTGGAAGGTGCGTAAAAATGCAGTAGTACCACCTTTGTTTAAAGTCTCTAAATTTGTTTTCATTCTACTTCGAATATTATTGATTTTTTAAATTCTTGGTTCGTTGCAGCACGAATATGTTTCGGAGAATAAAGTATCCTCATTCAGTGCTCGGTTGAAACCCCATGCTTGTGAAATGTACATATTCACTCCGTCTACATTGAGTCACTCGGCAAGTTAATATATTGGATATATGCCAGTGTGAGCTTTTTATAATGGCTCGGTATGCTAAAGAGACAAATGGTCCAGTTTTCATATTGTTGTATTTACGGCTGATGCCATCACCATTTTATTACGAGAGTTCAGTCGATTATTTCAGTTGTCTGTTTAAAGAATAAGTTATGTTGTTGTAATGGATATTTGATTACCACTTTTATTGATCCAACATTGCAAGGATTTTAGTATCTGTGAGTATGTATTCTACTCTGTTTTGATTTTGAATGTAATAAGGAAGAGCTTTTTTTATTAGCAGAAGCACTTTTCAGTAATTGCAGGAATATGTCTGATTTTGTTTCTCTTTCGTAAACGATAACTGCTGTTTCTGGAGAACGAAAACTCGAGTATACCAAAGTTAAAGAATCAGAAAACAGTTGCTATATCATACATAAATAAAACACACACACACACTAGCACAAATGAGTAAGTGGAGAGGGGTTGTACTGTTAAAAAGAATCCCAATAGAGGGAGAAAACATGATAAATTAATCTCAAGGAAAGTTCCAAAGCAGAGTAGAAGATGAAATATATTATAGTTACAAGACATAAAAACCAATTCACCTAAGCCCAACAAAAGCACGTATTTCAGTTCGAAAGTGCACATTCTAATTCATGTTCGAAAAAAGGGATTTCTTCAAGTGAAAGATCTTTACGACAACTTGCAGAAGAGACGAACCAGCATCAAGAAGCACTGGCCAAGGACTCGATCAACAGTTGGTAGCCTTCAGGCACTGTAGACTGCGTGTGTACACAGCCAGCCAATGCAGGAACATCAGCATTCACATCTAGAAACCTGGCAAGCAATAGAAGGAGATGGAAATCTGAAATTCGCTTCACAAAGGGGAGATTCTTTGCCCTATCAAGATGACTCTTCAATGCTCTCATTGTCACTGGGGATATTCTGTTCTCAATCGGAAACGTCGATGTAAGCGGGCCCTGTATTTTATTACAAGATCAGCACATAGGTGATGGAAAAACTTGTTACAAATTATGCTTAAGAAACACGAAAAATGGGAGTGTATACAAGTCCGGACATAACCAATGTTATAATTCCTCTTAGATATCCCATAAAATTAAGATTCAAACAGTCGTAGGACAAGCATGGTGTATTCAAACAGAAAAACCTAATACAATAGCAGCTGAACTAAAGCCGACTTCTCTTTTGCATACACATAAAGTCACATATTTTATTTCTTTTCTGATTCATATATTTGCTTATGAAACAAAGTCCTCACTCTAATCTGAAGCTTGTTTGCATCTACTATTACTAATCTAAATTACGCTGACGAAAAAAAGGCAGGTCTTTTGCTTTTGAGACAAGGTAAAATTATTGATTCTCGGTTCATCTAAAATAATTCTTGCCACCATTATGGTCAAAACAATCTATTCTATGGTTTCTTAAACTTTTGACATTCAGAATAAATTTAGGAGATACCTTTTAACCAAGTAAATTTGGAGATGTCTGATCCGATTTAACAGAACTAAATGCAAAACAAATTACATGAAGAAAATAATATAAAAATTGAATCTTGCTAACCTGGTGATCGAAAATCTTGACGACAACCAAGAAGAAATCGTTGTCCACATCCCTCATATCCTTCACTCCAATAACGACCTCTTTCTTCATCCTCGACAACTTCGGATCAATCTCCTCTTTCACATCTCTCTCAAACCAATCTTCTTTGAACAACCTAACACAAATATCACTCATCTGAAAGGCCTCAAAGTGCACATCTGCTCCTCCATCCTCGTTCGCCTTCAGCTTCACCACGGCAGTAACCCACTCTTTTAAATCACCCTCAGCCTGCAATTCGACCGCCTGCAAAATCTCGGCATTCGACATTGTGTAATCCTTCTTGTCCTGACTGATGGTCTGAGTGAATATAAACCCTACCCTCCTCATACCCAACCCCAAAGCTATGGCCTCAACCAAATTCTCCTCTTCCGGGTCCCTCAAAAGTATCAGATTCTCCTCAGTCCCTTGCTGCGGCGGCTCGTAGATGAAATCCACCTCAACTTTTCCCTCCTCCGACACGGTTCCGTACATCAAACCGCCGCGCTTCACCGCAAAGCTCAAACTTTCGTTCACGTAATGCTGGAACGCGTTTGCTGCATCGCGATCGAAGGAGACTAGCTCGCAGTGGGGGTTCTCCTGGCGGCTAACCCTCATCTGTTTGGCGATTAAATCGTCCATGGTCATCTTCCTGCCGAAAGAGCCGGCGGGGTGGAAGGTGGGCCCGGCGACGGTCCGCTCGCCTTCGTAAGCTAGGTAGACAATTGAGCCGTGGCCGATTTTGAAAGAGGAAAGCATGGCGCCCGGGTCGGTCATGTCGGTGAAACGGGTCAAATCGTCAGGGGTTTTCGCTAGTAGCAGATTTTGGTTGGCGGAGATGATTTGGGCTTGGGCGGGGACCCGGAGTTGGGACTCGATCTCGGACTTGAGTTGGGCGACGGTGGCGAGAGGGTTGTCGATTGAGACCCGCTCCAGACCATCGCGGCTTCGGATTCTGATCATCATCTTCGACGAATTGTGCAAATTTCAGGATTGATTATTATTGGGGAATTTCAACAAACAGTTGGTGTGCGCCGGTGCTATAAAGTTTATTAAGATTAAAATTAAGAGGGAAAAAGGGAATAATTTATAGAAAGGAAGTTGTTTTGGAGTGAAATTAGAATTGCAGAATAATTGGGGAGGAAGTAAAGATTTTGTTCGAGTGGGGAAGACGAAGAGAGGTGGGACTCTACTAGAAGAGTACAACCGGTTCTTCTTTTCTTCTTTTTTTTCTTTTTCTTTTTTTCTCTTTTCACTTTTGGTATCTTCCCATCAAATATTCGAATTAATCCCTGCTAATTACAATTTTCTTATATATATATATATATATCCTTAAAACTTAGCCTAATTATTAGTAATTACAAAAAGAATCAACTATTATTAAAAAAATTAAATATCTGGAAAGGAATTACAAATACCGATTAAGAATTTATTTCATGTTTTAAATTAAAAACAATATTTTTGTGATTTTAAGAGTTGGAGCCATGTAATTTTGTTATAAATCAATTTAAATTACAATTAAAGAAATATATATGCAGTGGTTACAAATTATTTATTAAGAAGATAGGAAATCTAATTTGATTTGATTTGCTTTCAATTTGAGAAAAAAGGGAGAAAGTGATTCAAATAATTTGAAAGGGTGACACATAATTTGATCTCATATGAAACACGACTTGCGCTAATACGAACCACGACTTGCGCTAATTTGATGTATGAGGCAACCTAGAAGGATGAAACGAAAGCGCAAATATTGCGAATAAACCTAATATAAATCAAAATAATATATATCAATCAGATACTAGTTTTTTCGAATTAACGTTACAATGTAGCTGCTGAAATAATCTGCACTGCAGAGTGAGGATTCATACATCTCATCATTAATAATCTGCACTGCAGGAAGGCATGGAACCCAAATGGTTTACATCGCTTCTCAACGGTTGCTCCAAATTCACTGCAGATAACAGCACCAATGGCACTGGAGGAGACTCTAACCTTTGATATACGATAGCATTGAGGTTAGTTCTTCCTCAATCTCCGAGGAAGTGGCTTCTTTGTCAATGTTGATTTTGTTTCCATCATCATTGCTTTCCACTGCAGCACCACCGATGTCTAAATGAATGCTGTTTCTTTCGACATTGGTTTCCAGGAAAGCGGGGCCCGGGCGAACATTTTGAGGTCTTCTAGGAAAGGGTAAGGTATAGTTGAGGAAATATTGCCCGTAAATCATACCCTCAAAGCTACTCGTGCAGTTCCCATGCAGATTAGCGACTTTATAGTATCTTCCTCTGGTACATGCCGCCACACGGTTTTCCATCTCTAGCGCATGTCTCCGATTAATTGTGTTGACGAAGAACTTCTTTATGCCGTCGCTTATGCAGCTTTCTTGCAACATGAGAACCTCTGTAAGCTTTTTATACCCGTAGGACAGTGCAGATTTTATTCGGTAAAAATTACCTGTTTCAGTAAAGTTTATAATACCATCATCAGTCAATCAATTCGCGAAATTAAGTTACTATATAGTATGAAATTTCTTTTATTAGCTGAATAAATTAAAATTTTATCATGTTGGAAACATGTTAAACTCAAAAAGATTGCGGTTTTCTGGTAAATTGGAAAAACCAAAGTTGTATCATTAATTACGACTTCACATTTCACTATACCACATGAATCGAATCTCTGTTCCAAACAAGTGCAATCAATTTCTCATTAGAACAACAACAAAGAGCAGGCACAGTGCAATCTATTCGCTGATTATAAAGCAATCTTGAATATCTTATAGTGCATCGATATTTTACGTGAGATGGTATTTTTGTAATAGAAAAACTTATTTAGGAAATCGAGTCTCATTTTGGGACTTCCCAGAAAGGAATGAATGTAAAAAATTAGCTCCGGAAAAATTGCATTTATATGAGCAGTCTTTCAGAAAGAAGAAAATTCCAAGAAGAACGGACATACCTAGAGAGATGCTACGTCCTAGGTTATTCTCGTCGTTTAGAGGATCCAATATATTGATTGGTTTCAACTGAAACTGTCCCCCTTCAGCTCTAACTGCTCTAATTGGGATAGAGAAATAATTCTTGCATCTCTGAATTAAATCTTCCCCGAGCAGCATGTCATCTTCAATTTGTGGTCTTTGTACTGACAGAAATAAGAACATGCAAATGAAATAAAAAACAGAGAGTTATGCAATCAATGGAGGTGATAGATTTATTATATTATCTTAATTCCTTTGGAAAAAGTCGGAGATGAATAATAGAAGAATACATAATACTTACCCACAACATCTGGAAGGGCTTCTAAAATAATGAGACCATCTAAGCTTATTCCAAACCTTTCCCAATCGAATGAACTGTAGTATTCCAAAAAAGTGTATAACACCTGCAGTTATATAGTCATTCAGTTATTGACCCTTTTTGCTAGTAATGTGGAAAGAGAAGCAACTGAGATTTACTTACTGATAATGGACCACGTAAATGAGAATGGAACAGATTAATAATATGTAAGATCATTGTTTCTAAAGCATAAGTTGAGATCAAGCCGTAGGAAGCACCAAGAATCCGGCTCTCATAATAGCACCAAGCTTTGATCAGAATAATGCTTTGTTTGAAAAGGTGCCCCTTCTGAATATCTTTATTCACCTGTGAACGTAGACAAGAAACTGTCGATCTTCTGAAACTAAATTGAATATTTCACGGACTACAGTAGGGATATGTATCTATACGTATATGCATTTAGATTGAACGAGAAAGAGAAGCACAGACAGTATACATATATGTCTATAACTACAACTTCAACTAAGAATCAGTGTACGTCATTTTCTTGCATGTGTAACAACATAAGACCTTAAATATGGGGAATGCAAGAATCGTACCGTTTCCAAAAAGCACAAAGAAGAGAAACCTCCCACTTTGTTGAATGAAATGTCTACAGGAATATGATCCAGAATGCACTTGACAACCTTGACCTGATCCAAAAATGTAAACAAAATGAAGCCAAATATTCTGGAGGAGAAACTTCTAATACAGGACTGTCTAACTTCAGTATTTACATCTGGGGTGAATGCAGATCGAAATTTAAGTGAAAAAGGCATAGATATTACAATTGCAAGGCTTTCTGTGGGAGTGATGACAGTGTCTCAGTGACAACAAACATATTACAGGCAGCATTTATGGTCGAATCACACTTCTTTACTAGAAAACTATAAATAGCTAGAAACTTCTCAAAGCCAATACAAAAGTAGCGAATAATATTCCGTTACTTTTAAAAAGCTTAAAGTTGGTAATATATGTATGTCGTTATCTGCAGTTGTGGACTTCTACGTTTTTTGGTCCGTTATGTAGGTTCTTTTTCACATTAAAAAGTTTTATACATATCAATTATCTTTTTCTCAAGATTTTACATAATATGATAGAACCTTGCCAATTGCTTCCTATATATTCTGCCAACTTTTGCATTTGTTGCACCCTTTACTAAACAGTTTTAACTTGTCTGGCCCAAAATTGCCCCTTATATCAAGTATGCAAATAATTATCCTAATTATAGCAACTCCGTAGAACTCATTTAATAGAATAAATTATCGTTCCAAACTAGAATATGAACCAGGATACTGATGATCATGAATGCTAAATCATTGTTAGCAGATTTACTAGCAAAATCAAATATCAATCGTGCTTGTATCAATTGAGCATATATGCAGATAACAGAGAAGCGTATAAATTAATGTCCTAATAATGTAAATACTTATAACCTATGTAGCACAGACACATTAACGTGGACGCGAACATGGGCAAGGGGAAACACCATTTTAAACACGTGTAAATATATTAAAAACAAATGTAGGGGTTTATTTATAAATTATAAAATACATGTCTCGATTCATTTACTAAAATGATCCACCAAGTGTCCAACGGGTGTCCAACATGCAAATACGTCAATAAGTTTTAAGTGTTCATGCAACATAGCTTATAACTACTTCCTCCTACTACCTATATCATATATATCTCCTATAACACTTACAACAAGAAACTTTTTGTATAGTCCCAAGAATAATTTGGTTAAGATCATATTGAAATTCTTTTTTTTTTATGGTTGCATAAAAAAATGCTTAACACCTGTATTTTTTTAGCCAGATATGTTACGACCAGTGTTGTCAAGGGAGCAAGGCGCTAGCCGAGCGAAGTGAAGCACAAAATTATGTATTTTATAACACACACACACACACACACACACACACACACACACACACACACACACACACACACACACACATATATATATCATAATCAAATAGGTAAAAACTGATAATAATAGATGCATAATCATTAAACCTAGTGAGAGTGTTGTCACACAAAATTTCTAGAATAGACTTGACTTGATAAACGGAAAATATATAAGCTATACACAGAAAGTTCCACTTATGCAAACAATCCTTTAAAAAATTATTTGCAGATAAAAATAATCAAGTGAAGAGGCAAGACCTGAGCATCAATCATAGTAACATCCGTAATCAGAAACCCAAAATTGTTTTGCTCATAAGCTTTCAAAATTTGATAAAAGTTATTGGCCACGGCGTCCTCGGTATTTTGATGGGTGATTGCACTCATATCAATATCTCCATCAGGAAGATATGTTTTCAGAGGAACTGAGCCATATGGGAAAACCTGCAAAGAAAACTTGATTGAGAGCTGTAACTATCTTACAGATTCTCAGCAAATACAAATCCACTACTATCACAATACTGTGCACTTTAATGCCAAATACTCATCAAAATGATTTTGGCACGAGTAGTTTATCCTCTATTATGAAAATCTAGAAGAAGTTTCAGCTGATAATAAAAGCAGCATAACTGAAAAATATTCAGCTAAACTATCCACTTGCAGTGTATACTTTATATTCAAGTCAGCAATATGTGTGGGTGTGGCTCATGCAAATAATATTTAGATATTGTCCATCAATGAAAAATTCTGAAGAACGTCGTAAAATGCTTACAGTGCCTTGTAAATTCATAATTACCAACATAACTCATGTAGTAATGTACTAGTCTAAAAAATATCTTCAAATAAATGCCCATGGTGTGATCTACTAGCCGTACAGTACATAGCAAAATCTTAATGTTGTCACATTGAATAGAACCCAATAACAAAAAAGGGAAGCCATAGATATAATGCATCTTTAACTAAAGTAGGAACACAAACGATCAAGTCTTAGCCTAGGTGGTATTGGTCTTCTCCCATTGTGGAGAGAGTTGAGGGTTCGAATCCCTTCGGGTGCATGTGTTGTGAATTGTGATTGCCATTTTATTTAGTTTTTTTATCACCCAAAAAAAAAATTAGAAACACAAGAATATGAATCAAACCTTAATCCCAAGGTGTTCCAAAAATAATTTCTCAATGATCTTGATCCCCGTCATCCTTGTCTTCTCAGAATACGTATCAGGTCTAATGGATGATATTATGCCATTGGCAGTTCTTTCCAGCATCCACCACTTTTCACCCTCAACAGATAAGGGATGTTGTGGGTAAGACGACGAGGATGAAGCGGAAGAGGAAGAGCAGGTTGGCAAACAAGGTTGAAAGTTTGACATTGGGAAGAGGAGAATCAATTGAGGAAGAAATTCAGCTTAATCAGAACTTTACTTATCTTGATGTATGTGAATGGATTCAGATTTCCTCGTCGTGCAATGAACAAAATAATGATCACTGGTTTCTGGGATGAAAACCTAGTTCCATGTAACAATATAACGAATTGAGTAAAGTTTTGCATTTTAATATTTTAAAACATAATAAGACAAAAACATTAAACTTATGACCATGATGATGTACAAGAGGTGCAAGAATTTTTGCTTTCGCAGAGTGAAATAAATTGAATGGTTTTGTATATCATGTTACAATGGCTTACGTACTTTCATGGAGTAGGGTTAGATTGAGAAATGTACGAAATGGTAAGCCGCGGCCTTAGTTTCGTGAAATAATAGCTAAGCCTTTGGCTTTATGACAGAAGAGAGAGAGTAAGAAGTTTTTAGAGACCATTAATGGCCACTGAACCAGGATTTTTAGAAGGTAAGTAATTGGGCATCGGTAGAAAATAATTGAGATGTTCATAAATTATGATGGCAAATAAGGAAAATCTGAGATGGAAACTCTTGTGCATAGAAGTAATGGATCGGCGAATTATTCTCAACTTGGAGCCATTTGAGCCAAAAAAAAAACTCAAAAGCAATAAAGAATGGAGAAAAGGAACAGCTTCGCCAGAATTTTCAAGAAGTTCCAGATGATATCAACCATTCGAGTAGAACAATGAGAATAGGATCGAGAAAGAAGTCACAAACACATATGAATATAAAATAAAGATGATTCTACTGATAAAACTGACCTTGGATTATGTTTAGCCAGAAGGAACACCACTATTTTCTCAACACCAAAATGAACCTGGGGCTTATATAGTGATATCATGATATAAGACTTACACCAGGTTAAAAATTGTGTTACTTACCAACTTTTGTTCGAGCATTAATTACCTCAATGGCAATTAATGATTCATACCTGGACTTTTGACAATTTTCCCTCACATTCGACTTTATCTGTCTCGAAAGCAATGAATGGAAAATTAAAACCACCTCATTCCTTTTTGTATTAGTAATAAGTCAAAAGCCTATAATTTACTTTATATTCCAATACTTGTGTAAGTGGATGTATTAATTTTAGATAAAAATGTGCTATTTCAGAATGTTCCACGTAAATATAAGGACCATATGGTTGAAATAGATGAATTAATTCTTGAAATTACTCCTGTCATTGTATCATCGACATTGTATCTTATAAAACTACCGAGTTCATGAAAAAATACATAAATTTCACGGATTAAAATTTAAAGTCTTAATCTCGTGTTATCTACAAAATTTGAACAACAGTGACCAATTGTTGGAAGTTCAATCAATTCCTAAAATTGCATGCGACGTGTAAAACGACACTATCATTTGATGCCAACTACAACCAATCCAAAAGATATTCGCTGATTAGTATATACGCTAAAGTTCAAATCCTACTAAAGACGCAGTACAATAAATTATTGGTAATCGTTAAGTGTCTCGCTTTGTACAAGATAAGGCACTTGGACATTGAATATTGAACCTTATACGTAAATTGTAGGTTCAACATCCACACGACGGCCACGTTTCATCTTGCAACATTCATTTTAATTACTTAATAATCTTTTTTTAAGTATGCCCCGAAAACTATAAGATTTTTTTTAGAAAGTAATCCGGTTTTAATGCACATCTAAATTCCGTCTCGCTCTACGTAATCCAAAAGCGGAACATAATTACATAAACATAGGTTTTGCAACTATATGAATATCACATAATATTCTCCATAGGATAGATACATTGTTCAAATACAAGGGCTTTTCCGTAATTACACTACTCAGCAGAAATCTTCAAAAAGTCCATCTCTAGCAATTAAACCTAACACGCATAATGGAGATAAAGCCAGGATTTGAAGATGCGTTCACCATTAAAGCATTTGTAATCTCCAAAAATCACATATAATGTATAATATGATCCGCAAAAGGATTACAGATTTTAAAGGAAAAAGTGGATTATACCTCAATCAATGCCTCCATCTTTTCCTTTTCTTCCTTCCGCCAATCATCATCCTGCAATTGCTGCTCACTCCCAACATTGCGTGTGCGCCTGAAAGAGAGAAACGGAGCGAGAGAGATTACAGTAAATATGATTTCAGAAAATTACAAGGGTTTTGTTTTTCCCTTTTCTTTTTCCTCTTTTTGTATTTTATTATTTTATACTTTATAATAAAAATTAAAATTAAATTAAATTGGAAGTAAAAAGCGTGTTGAGTAAACTATAACTTCTGCGAAGCACTAATATTACAAACACGCTTTTGCTTTCGGAAACTGATATAATAATAAAATAAAAAAATAAAAAACACAGGCGCCACTGCAAATCGATAACCTCCATTCATCCCGCCATGTTTTATCTTCCACTTAAACCCACAACTCCATTCACCTTCCTCAATTCCAAAACCCTAACCCCACCCAACTGCTGCAAATCCCAGCCCCAAACCGAGCGGGGAGTCTCCTTCGACGCCGGCGACACCTTCTTCCGCCACGAGAGCTCCACCGCACGCGACCTCGCCGTCCTCTCCGCCGCCATCTACAAGAAATCGCACAATGAGCTCCGGGTGCTCGACGCAATGTGCGGCTGCGGAATCCGCTCTCTGCGGTACCTGGCGGAATCCGGCGCCGATTTCGTGCTGGCGAACGACGCCAATCCGGACTGCGGCGGAGTTATTGCGGGGAATTTGGAGAGAGCGGACGCGGAAAAGAAGCGGTGGGTGGTTAAGCATTTGGAGGCGAACCGGCTTCTGACGGAGTGCTATTTGGAGAGGGATTTTTTCGACTTCATCGATGTCGATTCGTTTGGGAGCGAGTCGAGTTACCTTCGGGCAGCTATGAGTGCTGTGAAATTGGATGGGCTTTTGTATGTCACTTCCACCGATGGGTATTCCTCCGGCGGCCACCGGCCTCAGCAGTGAGTTGAATTAATGGAAAAATAGGTGGTTTGTTGTTTACTGATTATGCCTTTGTTTTCAATTAACCAAGTTTGATTATGTTAATTAATCAATCAACTCGTCCGGTTAATGGTAATAAGAAAAAAAAATCGAAGATATACTAGATATGTCAACACTGTTTTTGCTTCAAATTTTGACCTTATGTATCCATTCATGTTTCTGTTATGTAACATGAAAATCGCATAATAGTAGATGAAGAATTGTGATTTCTTGGTTATCAGCTAAATCATGAAATTGACGACTTATGGAAGAAATATTTTTGACTCGCAGAACTTTGGCTGCATACGGTGCATATGTTAAGCATATGCCATACTCAAATGAGCTTGGATTAAGAATGCTTATAGGTGGAGCTTTGAGGGAGGCTTCAGTATTGGGTTATCATGTTGTGCCACTCTTCTCGTACTACTCCTACCACGGCCCCGTTTTTCGAGCAATGCTCCAAGTTAGGCGTGGCAAGTTTCCCATTAAGAGGTCTTCATTTTTTCCCTTTTCTTTTTTTCTTTTTTTCTTTTTTTTGTTAATGCATCAGCTTCTTCTGTTTGAAACCTTGATTGTTTTTTTTACCTTCATCACTTGTCACAGGGATTATAGTTTCATTAGCTACTGCATTCAATGTGGAAATTCTCGGGGATTCTCTTGGGATGAACTTGGTCAGATGAGGTGCTCTTGCAACGACGTATGCCTTAAAAATCTCGTCCAATATCATCTGTCATTTACTAATTAATCCTGAAATTTGGTCACCTATAAGTTTTCTCTGTCTTGTTTCTTTTTCAGATTCCAGGTTCTCTTGTTGTTTCAGGGCCACTTTGGACAGGCCCTCTTCACAAGGCATCCTTTCTTACTGAGATGCTAGAGTTGGCCGGAAAATGGGGTTGGACCGACGATAGAACAGGAAAACATATAGAAACACTGTTAAAAGTAATGATTGATGAAAGTGACCCTGTTTTGCCATTTGGATACATCAGAGTAGATGAGGTATTCTTAATACGATTAAGTTTTGATTGAATAATTTGACGCCCCCCTCCCCCCACCCAAATGAATATTACTGCGACCTCCACTAGTTACTTCACGAGCTTCTGTTGACTTTTCGCTTACATCTATCTCAGATAGCAAGTCGAGCCAAGGTTAATTCGCCTCCCCTAATCTCTCTGTTGGCCACCTTGCACAAGGTACTCTCCCCACTCCTTACCATACTACCGAAATTCGCCACTTGGATGTGGTTTTTTTTTCTTTTTTTTTTTGCATACTGTATATACTACTAGCTCGTTATGTATTGAGTATACAATACATGCATGGAAATGAAGTTCTTGATCTCGTTTTAAGGCTGGTATCTTATATTTGGGGGCTTTTAATTACAGGAAGGATATGCTGCCACAAGATCCCATATTGCTTTGAATGCAATCAAGACAAACTGTCCTATGGTCGAATGCGTGAGGCTTGTTAAAGAATTCCATTCCATGTCTGCCGATGAAAAATCACATGGGCTCATCGAAGCATAACAACAAATACTTGCATGGAAACACCTGCTTTCATGATCCAAATTTCAATGAAGCCTGAAATTGCTTCACAAAGAGGAGATTCAAAGAAAGGCACATCACCCACAAGTTTGGCAGTTTTGCTGGTCATTGATTAAATCATATAATTTGTAGTAGATTTTTTTTCTGGTTTATTCTTGCCAGGAAACAGAAAATTCAGAGGAAAACGATAGATAAATGAAAAGATGAAGGACGAAGGGTTGCATGAATCCGAGCCTTAATAAACATACAACTATCATATAAGCAAAGCTGTAGTATGTATCAGCTCGCACAACTGAACATCCCATTTAACAAAAGATTGCCTCTGCAACCGAAGCAATTTTATTTCCTCTCAAGAACTTTTTGAAGTACAGAGCTGAAAAACTTTTACAACCACCGGAACTTGACTGCTCAGGTTCGTCGAATCAAGGGTTCTCTTTCTCAAAAACTTCACTGGCGTATTTCCAGTTTATGACTTTCCATATATTCTTCAGGTAGTCTGGTCTCACATTCTTGTACTGCAAAACGAAATAATATGATATTCAGTGATGTTAAAATTCACAACTTAAATGAAAAGGCCAAAAAACATAGAAGCATAACAGATGAGCATCTGAACTTCGTACATCATATTGCACAAAGCACGATGGGAAAAATCGAATTTAAGCTATAAAAGAACCATTAGAATTAAAGGAGCAAGAAGCACCTGCAAATAGTATGCGTGCTCCCAGACATCAATACCAAGCAGAGGAACCAAATTAGGTCCTACAGTAACCAGTGGATCCTGCAAAAGAAGACGAATTCAATCAAATTGGAAATGCATCGCTTACGTTTGTTCGTCATCACTAATTTATTATCATCAAACAAGAGCCATTGTACTTCTCATATTCTAATTTCGGAATTTCATGATAGAATATTTAATATTAGATAACGGTTATGACCTACAATTAAAAAAAACTTCTTCCTCGTAAACCATTTAAAAACTAGATGCAACGGCCTAGAGGGAAGTAATATAAACAAGGACTGCTGTGAACTCAAGTTCTGAAAAGCTTCCATAGAAAAGCCCATAAACCAGCGAAAAAACTTTAAAATATGTAGCTGACTCAACCCTTTATGGGTGTCAAGTTCTACATCCATTATCTTGGAGTATAGCATATTCAATATTGTGCAATAAATTATAGGACCGAAGAACAACCACGGTTATTTATTACAACACAAGTCAAACCAATTACCTGATTTGCAGTGGTCGCAATTACGAGACGCTTGAATTCTTTGTCCAGACCAAGCCACTGCGAATACAAATAAAGTGATCCAAGAAAATAAAAATTAGCAGGAGCCTGCAGCATTAAGAATCACGGTGGTTATATCTAAAACAAAATATACGTACCACCCATCCAGATCCCTGTAAAGCAGCACCTTCAGCATTCATCTTCTGTATGAGAGCTTCCAAGGAGCCAAAGTTGTTGTCAATGGCCATGGCTAACGTACTCTTGGGAGGCTCGCCACCTCCTTCCTGTACGAGATTATTAGCTTCTGAATAATTGACTTGCCTGATTTTTACAACAACACAATAGTGAATATTTAGGAGGTAGACTTACACTAATAGGAGCAAGATTCTTCCAGAAAATCGAGTGATTAACATGACCTGTTAAAATACAATGTTACTTAGAAGCAAAAAAACAAGATTATGTGTATAGTGATAAAATTAGCTACAGGCACGTTCGGTAGTAACTAACTACTGTAAGCAGCCAATGAAATGCGTCAAAGGTAAATTCTATGAAAATTGAAAACTAACAATATTAATTGATTCTCTTGAATAAATTAAACCCATCGTAGACTGGCATTAGGGGAGGAAAAATCCTCACTGTGGTCTTCATCTTAAATCCAGTGCTGCAATTGGCATCTTAAACATAATTATGCCCAAAATAAAATACCCATTTACAGTTTCCAGTTCTTAATTATTTATATCCCACATAAATCTCTATAACACAACCAATTATTGCATAAACACCAAATTGCCAAGGAATTTGAGAAAGGCTAAAATGTGGAAATTGATTTGAGGTAAAAATGTAGAATACCTCCGCCGTTAAACTTGATAGCGGCCTGCAACTTGACAACGGCTGAGGCATCGCCCTTAGAAATGGCGGCATCGAGCTGCTCCAAGGATTTATTGTAATTAGTGATGTAAGCCTGGTGGTGCTTCTGGTGGTGAATCTGCATGATCTCGCCGCTGATTGCCGGCTCCAGGTCGCCATATCCGTAGGCTAGATCGGGGAGAGAGAAAGTTTGCAGCCCTCGGAATCCAATAGGTACTGGCCTCAGGGCTTTTCTGGTGATTAGGGTTCGAAGAGCCATGGCTGAGTTGCTGTTGAAATGAATTTGTCTGGAGAAATGTAGGAAGATGAGGTTTATTTATGGGGAAACTACAGATAAATCCCTAATCCAAAACTTGAAACACAGATCAGTCCCTAGGTAGTTTGCCCTAGCATTTCAGTCCCTACTCACACGCCTAACATGCAGATCAGTCCCTAATGTGAATTTTATATATTTTATTATATTTTCTTCTCACTCTCACCCTTTTCTCTCTCCTGCTTTTCTCTCTCTTCATCTTCTCTTTCTTTCTTCTCTCTCTTCATTTCTATCTGCTTTCTTTCTTCTCTATTTCTTCTCCATTTCTCTCCTCTGGTTTCCCCTTTTTTCCGGCGAAAAAATCACTGTAAAACCCACCCACCCCACAATGGCTACAAATGATGTATCTAACGATGTACCCAGTGTGATTCTTGGAAGTTGTCGATACAAAAATCAACTTCACATTATTTCCATAAAAAGTAATTCGACATTAATGGAGATATATGGTGCTATTATCAACAAATGGAATCATATCCATCCAGATGCACTGATCCTCCAATACTTGGCTCCTCGGGAAAGATTGTATGTGACATTGGGCACTGATGAAGATGTGGAGAATATGGTTGCATTGCATCTGATAATGAAGATGAGTGTGGTCGACATTGTCGTGACCTGCAAA